TATGCCGCCAAATTGAAATGAACGTCCAGTTAGAAACCCATACGGATCTCAGTTCCCGTTGGTAGCTACGTTTACCTTGTGCGATGGAAATTTACTGGTCGCATTACCATCTTCTTCGGCCGATCTGTATCGTACACCGAGCGAAGGCGTAATTTACAATTTCCATAGGTAAACATCGGTGTTCCTGTTATGAGCTGGATAATCGACCTGTCGCTCGACCGAGACTTCGTTCGTCTCGCTATCGCTTTGCTCGAAATATTTTAGGCAATTGGGGGATCTTCGCGAAAATCGTTTCTCAGTTGTGTTAACAAAGTTCTTCTGCGGATCAGAAATGGCGATGACCTCAAAAATATATACTGATAATAAGAAATCTTTGCTATACTTTCCAACTTATGAAACATTCGAGTCACGGTTTGCTTGCTGGATACTTTTGGACTCTGAATTTGAGCAATTTCTTCTCGTTGGTATCCTAGTATTTGAACGATGTTAACAGTTATTCAACGCCTGCAATGCGTCGCGTCGTTCTGAAGTCAATAGTCGACGGATCGACTGATTCCACGAATGGGTTCGTCGAATGCATGGATCGTTTCGATCGTTCATCGTAGGTCCTTAAAGAACAACCGACAATATTACGATCTCCGTATCCGGTACCGATTTGTCAGCGACCAGCAAGAATTCGGTGGCTGTGAATTGAAATAATCATGAACAGATTTGCATACAACACGAAGGCGAGGATCGAGTGCTCCGCTATCAATCCATGTGAAAGGTTTCCTGATTGCACGTTCAGTGACTATTCACCGAAGGACAGGCGGCGAACATTCCAATCAATCTACAAGTTTTTACTCGCGATCGTTACACCGTTGTAGAGGAACACTGTGGTAACGAGGATGACTCGGCTGGGAACGACGAAGGATTTCAGTTTACGAATGTTTCTATGTACTTCGATTTTCAAGCGGACAAGTTGTGCTCGAAGTAAGCTGTAACATGGTCGCCTTTTTTAGACTTCCTGCGTTACTTGCTAACGAAATAGTTTGTTTCGGTAGTTCCGGGAGTAGGTTGCTGTTCGATCAGATTGCGGTTGCGAAAATCAATGTAATCGAATAGAGATTATGATGATAAAATAAAGACCTACAGTGGGTCTCTCGCTTTTTAACTTTTTTTATCTGAGCCTATAACAAAGATTTAAAAAATGTCTTCCGTAGATCTCGGTAAGTTATATGCACGTAAAAAATGTTTATCGAAATCGGTTACGAGTTACAACATATTAAAGATTGCAAAAATTCTATAAATTGTGTACGTAATCAAATGTTATAATTCTATAAATTGTGCACGTAATCAAATTACACATTAGCAATATTCTGAAATAAGACATAGAGCCATGATGCCAACGCTGCGTCGACGTATGTCCGTAAAACGTTAAATACGAGCTAAAGCATTGTTTCTTTTCTCTGAAAATATTAATACCGATCTTCCAGAGGCTCCAAAACTACGTATTCGGCGTCACATCGATCATAAAGTTCCCTAAAATTCGCTTCACGTTACAAGATGCAACGTGGACGGTTTTCACGGGGCGGGCCATAAATCTGTGACTTCAGCGACTATAAAATATCCTTTACAGAGCGGCGGGCAGATCGGAAGATTTTTAACCCGGCCCACGTAGCCAGGAGTCGGCCCTTATCTCCCGGAGATTTATTTTAATTCGTTCTCGGGACAGATGCTTCTCAGGGCAGGTGTAGCAGTCGCGATGCGCCGCCGGAGTCCTGGACAACTGCAACGCCAGTAAGCAGGATTATCCATCAGAACGTATAAGTACACACGGCGTTATGTGTCTTCAATTCCGGAGAGTAGATTCCAGGAAAAGGCGAGACACACAAAATGAAAGAGGGTACTACGCCAAAAAGAGTACGGGAAAGCTCCCGTTTCTTCGCTTCTCCTTCGTTTTATCCGTCTCGCTGGTTGACGTACACCGACACGAAAATGTTTTTGTATGCTACGCCACACCTCGCGTCGCGAGTCGCGATAGCCTACTATACTATAAGAAAGCCCGACCGATAAGGTTAAATGGCATGTTTTTCTTTGCAGCATCGAATTTGAAAAATCAAAAAATGGATTGCTCGTTCATGCGAATTCTATCGTTTCTAGGGGAGACCGATTTGACATGGCAATCGTCCATGCCAATACGTACCCGCCGAACATATTCTATAATTGTCATAGATACGAATCCTCTATAAATGTTCGCGAATTACAATTGAAAGTTCCATTTGTTCACGGAAGCGTTCACCAAGCGGAACCAATGCACGATGAAGGAGAAACAAGGTAGCGGGTATCGCGTGCTCGCGATAAGCCGGAAGTGGTCGGAACCAGACTCGCGAAATCTTCAATTTCACGGTACAGCGCGGCAAGGAAGTTCGAAGTGGTTGAACGAGAGGGCTAATGACGAATTTACTTACCGCTTCACAGGGCCGCCGCACCGCGCCGTTTTCCACGATTTTTCCACTCGGGCCCGCTCTCAGCCCGCCTAATACCGACTCGCCCGTCTGACGGATATAATTACAGTTGATACCGGATTTGCCTTTGCCACGCTAATGTAACGGCAAATATTTACGACTCGTTGGGTTTAGGGAGTCCGCCGCGGAAGAAGTAACGGTCTACTCGCGGCCGCTGCCACCTAAGCGTATTTGTCGGTGCCTACTTATATACATATACGTTCTCGTTATGCGAGTGTTTTAATGAAAATACCACCGGCGTTTCCTTTGCAAATCCCACCCTCGCGATTTTCGCCCGAGCTCGCCTCTTTTCGTCCGTTCTTAATCTCCGTGGCTCCGTATTTTCATTTACGCCGGCGAAAACTACTTTCCGTTTATTATATCCAATCCGAATTCACCGTGGCGTGATCGTAGATGTAATTGTCGGTGCAATATGCCCGTAAACTCGCGAGGTGAACGCTCGCAATCTTTTTTCTCTGACGCACGCGGTCGAAGAAGTATTCATGGATTAAAAATATATTTTGTAGCGAAGGGGCGAACGCAGAGCGGAGCAAATTGCTTCCTTGCCGCGGAAAATTTGTTCATGGAACGGAATTGGAGAATCTTGTTAAAAAGCAAAATTGCTTTGGTTATTTATTCGAACATTTCGAAACATTTCGAAATGAAAGTAATAGCATTTTCAAATAATTAATTATTTCATTACTTTTACGAAGGAAATGAAAATAATATGCTAGAAAATGTTTCGTTTTAAGAAATCTTTACATCAATTTGCTTTTAGCAAAACTCTTTCCCCAAAAAGTTCATCCTTAACACGTTGAGTGCTGCGTCCGCGTTTCATAGGGGCGACATTATTTTCTCGCTACTTTGCAAAACTCACTTTTGTTGCAGTATATTTGAACAAACCGTATTTCTTTTGTTCATGTTTTTCGATTCAACGAAAAAATGTTTCTTATTATCGGACAACCATAATATTTACATAATTTTTTATCTTGCAGAATTGTCAAAGAGAACGACGATATAAACCGGACGCAGAGATTATAAATCGGATTGAATTTCCAAGAAGAATTGCACAATTCTCTCGAACGATCATTTCAAATAATAATCAAATAAAATAACATGTTACTTAAGATAAAATTTCAAATAATGTTATTTCAAAAGTGCTCGCAGAGGTATGGAAGTAATTGTGATATGAAATAACATGTAATTTCAAACAATATTTCAAATAATAATCATCGTTTCAAATGGGCCCGAGACTATGTACATGTAGAACGGTTACGTAGCTTTTGTACGATCATTTCCGAGCTCCAATAATAAAAATAAGCGAGTAAAGATTTTTTTCTCGTATCTCTGTAAAGCTTGCATAGTAATTATTTGCCAATCAACAACACCCGTTAACAAGAAAGGGATATTACGTCCGTTGAATAAGGGATTTAAATATCACGGACGAAAGAAAGTAACGAGCCCGTTCCTTTATTAAAAATATCTTTCGTACTCCCTTTCACGCTCGTTGACTCCGTAAATGAATTTCTGCGTCAAGAATACCAATTACGTAGCGTACTAACGTCCCTGGAACGCGTTCCCCCGCTGGAAACATTCCAATTCTACGAGAGGTCTGCCAAGTGCGTTAAAATCTATCGATCTGCAAATTGCAGTTACAGCCCATATAATCTCCGCGGCGCTGTTGGAACAGTATAAAACAAAGTCGCGGCGGTATTGTCTTTTCGGGGTAAGGGACGTTTGTACGGTATAATGGAGCCAAGAGTTCCTGTTCACCGTCAGCCATTCGCGAAACGTTTCGAAAACAGATTGCAATGTTTCGATGGGCCTATTAGTGCTCCTGTATCCGAAGAAGTTGGATACGTTGTTACGATCGTTCCACGGATGGCCAATACCATTTTTCAATGTTCCGAGAATGTCTCGGACGACTTCGATACCGTCAATTATATGTAATGAGTAGACCGCGGATTTTATGCACCTATGGCAAAAGCGAATAAACTAAACTAAAGTACGAAATTGTGAACGTATAAAAGGACTTTAATAATACCGTTACGCTATTTTTAACTTATCGAGATTATTAGAGGAAACTATTTATTTTTTATTTAATTTTCGTTTTTTACAATCCTCTTGGAAAATTTTTACATTGCATCGCAACGTTGCGAACTTCCTCCAGGTCAACCGTCGCTAGCCTCGAATGTTGGTACGATTACGGGAGACTCTTCGGACTGTTTTATGACCCTAGTTTATGATACGCTACGGCTATTGAGAAAGACGAAACGGATGGCTCGATATTCGATGGTCGTCGAATGTGAAAGTTATCCTAATCTGAAAAGTAGCCTTTTGTCACGGAGCTTTTTAATGTCGTGAACACATTGCTGGCGAAAACTCTACGAATTGTTCCCTCGCGATAGAATAGAATGGTTAATTGAACAGCCGTAGTCTCCGCCGCTTCTGACAATGTTGTGGAAATTACTCCGAGTAAACCCTCGGCAGCCTCAGGTATCGTCGCCTTTCGGTTCGGGATAACTGTCCGTAATTACCGAGTTTATGACACTTCACAGTTATTAAGGAAGACGAAAACAAAACTTGAGCGTCAAATGTTCGCCCTTAATCTCAAAAATAATTGTTCGTCGCGTCCGTGTTGTAAAGCTTGTCGACGAAAACCCCAGGTATTTGTTCCATCACGATGGATACCTGAACCTTTGTCCGCCACTTCATATTAATCCATTACATTTCCTAAACCCCCACCACTCAAATAAGAACCAATATATATACACCATCTTTCCCTCAGCCTAGGTTCATTTCAAAACGTGCGTCAGTTCGGATACGTTTGAAACGAGTAACAGTTCAGATTTATTGAAAAAGTGCGTCTACTCGGATCTATCTAATTTCCCGTTGTGTCGTGGCGTGGCAATATAACGTCGTAACGTGTGGAACGGAAAACTCGACGAGGACGAACAACCTCCTGTAGGACACCGGTCGGTACGAGCATTGTCGCCTGGTCATCGAGCTACGTCGAATCAGCCATCGGGTGATCACGTACAACCGCGCGCAGCTGCTTCTCCGTGGCATAGAAATTCTTATCTTCTTTATTCTTCTCATTTCGTAAGTATATTTGAAAGAATTCGGCGAACCATTTGCTTCTTATTTTCACTGCACAAAATGGCGAGCGAAAAATCGACGAGTATGATGACAACTCTGATCCTTGTTGTAGCGTAAACGAAGGGGGCCGAGTGAGTACCGAATTGGGAAATAAAGTTGGAGACCATACATGCCCAATATATGGATTCGCCTAAGAATTCGTCTATGGATTTCTGTGTGGATTCATCTTTGTGTTTTTCTATGGATCCAACTGTGGATTTCTCTATGGAGTCGCCTATGGGATCGCCTATTGGGTCCCATATTGGGTCCCCTATGGGGTCCCCTATGGATTCGCCCAAGGATTCGACCAAGGATTCGACCAAGGATTCGACCAAGGATTCGCCCAAGGATTCGCCCAATGTACAACGCTGTCGATATTGTGGAAAATGTAGTCATTCTTGCAATAAGAGTTCTTGCTACAAAAGTGTAGCCAGTGAAGCAGCACTACGCTTCAGCTACTGTTTCAACGTATAGACCAATTCACCAACAGTTCAATTATCATGCATCATCGTCATTCTTATTTACCGGATGATAAACTTGCCGCGACTACACTGCTAAAACATACTACACAATTCTATGTTTGACTGTACCAGTAGTCGTAGAAATAAACGTACATACGAAGGAAAATGTAGATATAAACACAGATATCGAAAAAGTAAATGCCATCGCAGATACAGATATAGACAGCGGAATTTAAATTCAAAATATATTATGATATTGCATTGTTAACTAACATGTAAGTCTATACATGTAAATTTATACCAGTACCGTTACCACGAGATTTAGCAAGTGAGAAAGTATGTTAATGTAATGTAATGTAATGTAATAAATAATGTAATAATAATGTAATAAAATACGAATGAAATGTAAATCCAAAGACTTCGTATTTTTTACAATAACAAAAGATCGCACCTTGTACACGACCTTAACAGAAAGCCAATTTGATAAATGCAACTGAGATGTCGCTAGTAAGTGTCGAAAAGATGCACACGCAATTAGAGTATATGTATATCTTTCTTTTCAAAGGGGAGGGGGCGTGTTACATCCTACTCCATTACTTTAATTCTAATTAGATTTCTTCTTCTTATTATTACTATTATTATTATTACTATTATTGTTGTGCTGCGATCAATAGATATCATTGGATATCAACGTCATTGCATTATCTTCTTATTGAACATCCCAAAATCTTCTGCAAGTCATAATTTCACCCTTGACTCATCCTCGGCCTCTGTCGTTGCATATCTTCAAAACGTGCGCCTACTTAGATCTATTCGCATCATCAACAATCAGAAATCACTATTAACAAATAAGAAGAGTTTATTTTTGGCTTCCATCTCCGAACTGGATCGTTTTCGATTTTCTTTTCCCAGTAAAATACTAACATTTAAAATTCAACGAAGTATCAATAATATATTTACAAAAATGATCAAGTATTACTGATTCATCGATTTAGGGAACATTACACAAAAGAATCCAGAAGAATCCCTGTAGACAACGTTCTTCTTCGCACTGTATATGTATACATACATTTCGGTCGCCACGATTTTTCAGGCATTTAGGCCAACCTGACAAAAAAATGTTTCGAATAAAAAAAAAATTTTTCACAATTTTTATTAATGCACTCTCTCTCTCTCTCTCTCTCTCTCTCTCTCTCTCTTTATTCCTATCAGTGTACCGAATAACTCTTATCCGATACATTTTTTTGTCAGATTGGCCTAAATGCCTGAAAAATCATGGTAACCGTTACGGTGGACACCCTGTATAGTCGAGGACTGCTTTCAGAAGAGCCAAGTGGTATTACGAATTAAGAGACCATTATCTCGAACAATAATTCGCCACAAAGTGGAGCCAAACTATCGCGCGCGCGCGCGCGACGGCATGAATTCTGTTAACAACGAAAATTTTGCGGAGAGCGACGATCGCGAGCGGCGAGAAGCCACCATCCTGCGAGCCGGAATTTAACAAACCCGCGATTGTTATACCGATGGTGGGCTTAGTGTAAACAGAGCGTCAGCGTATGCGACTCGCACGGATTTTCGGTAACCCTCCGCACGGTGAATTATGTTATCACCGTGTGCGGCGTCGCGCATGGTCGGGTAACGTCGGGGACAAATATAATAAACGCCAAGCCTCGTTGACAACGATGCAGAAGTGCCCCGGTGGCAATTATTACGAGCGAATCGAAACGAACGATAACGCCTACTTTGGTTAGGTTGCCGCGCTAAAGATCGTCCTATCAACGGCCATCTAGAATACGCGAAACTCAGCGGGTTTGAATGGCGCTTCGGTCTTCAGAAAGGAACGTTACCGGTGTTTATGGCAGTTGGTCCAACCTGGCACTGCCGCCGCCGAGTCTAGACCCGTTTTATAGGCCGCGTTAGTTCTTAACCTCCCACTGATAGCGTCGAGACAAATGGGATCGCTGTGTTCTTTGGGGACATTGTGCTTGAATGATTATAATGGTGTTTTATCTAAAGCTTCCGGAGATTACGTTTCCACCGGGTAATCGAGGAACACGAGGAACACGAGGAAACTCATCGTTTCGTCTCGGCAATATTCCACTACCGTAATTTTCTATTTTTCTTATATGCATTCATGCTTCATGGTACTTTGTCGCGTCGTATTGTATGCAGATACGGATAGCTGGAATGTGGATCTTTATGCAGGAACGAATTTTTGCAGACACATTCTAAAAGAGTGGGATCAAATCAATGTTAAACCTAGAGGACGCTTAAAGTATTTGAAGATCGAAGGTCTGCATAAGAGGGAGGCTCGTTTTGTACATTCTTCGATATCATCTAGTCTATGTCATCCATTAAGACGAGACTTGAAATTAGAACTGGGATTCCGATAACGTTTAATATAAATTTCTTTAGATTCACATTTTTAATATAATGGAGTATAATTTTCTTCTTATCGGAAAAAGCATCTGTATTTACAATGTTAAGAAAGTAATCATCCAGTACAGTTAAATTGCAAATTCTGCATACATTATTTATTAGACATTATTTATTGTAAATGGCACGAGCTCATCGTTTATCGCAATTGTCCATGGTCAAATGCAAATAAGAAATGACAAATAATAAATAATGAATAAAGGTTCACCAAACGACTAATTTACTTGTTACTTCTATTCGAATACAAAGGTATTCAAATAATGCCTAACACTGTTATATCGTCGCTTCTTTTGGTTTTGAAATATGAAGGATTTTCACCAGGAAGTAAACCTCNTTTTATTAATGCACTCTCTCTCTCTCTCTCTCTCTCTCTCTCTCTCTCTTTATTCCTATCAGTGTACCGAATAACTCTTATCCGATACATTTTTTTGTCAGATTGGCCTAAATGCCTGAAAAATCATGGTAACCGTTACGGTGGACACCCTGTATAGTCGAGGACTGCTTTCAGAAGAGCCAAGTGGTATTACGAATTAAGAGACCATTATCTCGAACAATAATTCGCCACAAAGTGGAGCCAAACTATCGCGCGCGCGCGCGCGACGGCATGAATTCTGTTAACAACGAAAATTTTGCGGAGAGCGACGATCGCGAGCGGCGAGAAGCCACCATCCTGCGAGCCGGAATTTAACAAACCCGCGATTGTTATACCGATGGTGGGCTTAGTGTAAACAGAGCGTCAGCGTATGCGACTCGCACGGATTTTCGGTAACCCTCCGCACGGTGAATTATGTTATCACCGTGTGCGGCGTCGCGCATGGTCGGGTAACGTCGGGGACAAATATAATAAACGCCAAGCCTCGTTGACAACGATGCAGAAGTGCCCCGGTGGCAATTATTACGAGCGAATCGAAACGAACGATAACGCCTACTTTGGTTAGGTTGCCGCGCTAAAGATCGTCCTATCAACGGCCATCTAGAATACGCGAAACTCAGCGGGTTTGAATGGCGCTTCGGTCTTCAGAAAGGAACGTTACCGGTGTTTATGGCAGTTGGTCCAACCTGGCACTGCCGCCGCCGAGTCTAGACCCGTTTTATAGGCCGCGTTAGTTCTTAACCTCCCACTGATAGCGTCGAGACAAATGGGATCGCTGTGTTCTTTGGGGACATTGTGCTTGAATGATTATAATGGTGTTTTATCTAAAGCTTCCGGAGATTACGTTTCCACCGGGTAATCGAGGAACACGAGGAACACGAGGAAACTCATCGTTTCGTCTCGGCAATATTCCACTACCGTAATTTTCTATTTTTCTTATATGCATTCATGCTTCATGGTACTTTGTCGCGTCGTATTGTATGCAGATACGGATAGCTGGAATGTGGATCTTTATGCAGGAACGAATTTTTGCAGACACATTCTAAAAGAGTGGGATCAAATCAATGTTAAACCTAGAGGACGCTTAAAGTATTTGAAGATCGAAGGTCTGCATAAGAGGGAGGCTCGTTTTGTACATTCTTCGATATCATCTAGTCTATGTCATCCATTAAGACGAGACTTGAAATTAGAACTGGGATTCCGATAACGTTTAATATAAATTTCTTTAGATTCACATTTTTAATATAATGGAGTATAATTTTCTTCTTATCGGAAAAAGCATCTGTATTTACAATGTTAAGAAAGTAATCATCCAGTACAGTTAAATTGCAAATTCTGCATACATTATTTATTAGACATTATTTATTGTAAATGGCACGAGCTCATCGTTTATCGCAATTGTCCATGGTCAAATGCAAATAAGAAATGACAAATAATAAATAATGAATAAAGGTTCACCAAACGACTAATTTACTTGTTACTTCTATTCGAATACAAAGGTATTCAAATAATGCCTAACACTGTTATATCGTCGCTTCTTTTGGTTTTGAAATATGAAGGATTTTCACCAGGAAGTAAACCTCTTACAACGTAGGAATCGTTAAAAAAAAAACTTGTCTAACATATTCCAGTAGCTGCGACTAAATACGTAAATGGACTAGAAAGCGCAAATCCGATTTGCTTCTATAACTATCCTTCTGATCCGAGGAGAGAGTTGAAACTTCATACAAAACGTTTCTTCTTGATAAGCTATCGAACAGCGCATCGGTGGTTTAATTCGGTTCAAGTGCGTTTTCGACCTTCTTATCCGCGGTCTTATCTTTACAGCTGGCGGTTGAATACGAATAAACGAGACCCAGCTCGTCTCGTTGGACGCTCACCGACGAGTAAAGTCGTCGAGAAAATCGACGATAATCACGGGAGACGGCACGTTCCGGCGTATCGAGCCGCTGCTCGAACCGTCGTCGCATATCCAATTTTCCCGCGTTGGCCGATTTCAATTTTCGGATGGGTCGCACAAAGGCTTGTTTATGAGACGTCCTCTCAGCTGGTAGGGCTCGTTACCTGCCACCGAGAGGTTCGCAAGAACTCCATCGACGATAGCAGATATCAAAGTAATTGGAAAAGTTGAAATGGACTTACCCAGCTACTTATGGATCTTGCGTCGCCGCGATTATGCCGAATGTTTTCCATCTCGGAGCTGTTTCGAATATGATTCGGTCACCTGTCAGTCATCGAATTGACCGTCGCAGTTTCAGCCACGCGGAATGATTCGTTGTTTGCTTAAATGGACTACCGGTATATAGAGAGGAACCGTTTATACGACCAAATCGGCTAGCGAATTAGCTCGGTTAAGTGGATCGTTCAGGTAATAGGAGATCACCGAGTTCGCAAACTATCTATTACTTTTCGTCCAAATAACCAGAGTTAACGTTAGACTATCGGAATCCGAGCACACGTTTGCCCATTTGTTTGCTTACCGGAAGCTAAGGTTTATGCAACTGCAGCAATCCTCTACAGTCGTTCGTGCAATAGAAGCTATGCGCAAGCTTGATAAATCGATCATCGGGTGAAATTTTATTTCGATGAAACCAGTTT